AAATGAAATAAACATAGAATATTAACTAACACCCGGTATATTGAAGAATTTTGCAAACCAAAAATAATATTCTCAGAATTCAAAGAAAAATAGCTAAAAGTCAAAGAAATCAATATAAACAATATTTTATTCGCTTTGTGTCCAAAATGGACAAAATTAATACTCCAAATGTATGCCAAGGCTTAAAGCAGCAACGACGCTACACTTGTAAGTAAAAATATTTAAGTATCTGAACAAAGAATTCTAGTCTCTTCCCAAATTTGATTGTCCTAACTAATCACCTATTAGGCCTAATTAATTTTAGAATGTTTCAAAGTGTTGCAATTGTGATGTATTTTAATGGGTGATATGATGAGGCTGTTGACGAACTGTGATTGTTTTTTAAATTAATGAAATTCTTTTTTTTAACTATGTTATTTTAGAAAAACATGATGGTGGAAAAATACACCGAAGCGTATTTTAATTGATAAATAAAGACAATAAATGACTGAAACCCAGGAATTAATTTCAACTAATAATGCGTACCAAAATTATTATCTGAAAACGTTATTTGATTTTTTTAAAATAACTTAGTTACTTAGACATTTTGAGAACGGCATAGAAGCAAATTATTTTATTTTTTTTGCGGGAAAACTAGTGGTCTTTGGACAAAAAACCGTAAGAAATAAAAAAGTTGGTACATAACTTGTAGTAAGTATCAAAATTATGTTGAGAAAAGTTTAAGTGCACACAAAAAAGTTCTGAACAAAACAAAAGTAGGGGTTCCACATTTCTACCCTGTATAAAAGCAAACTGAACCACGAAACACTATCATGAAATGGCACTCAATTAGCTTATGATTCATACCAAAATTTATATGTTTAACAGTTTTAAAGGAAAACAACAAAAACTACTATATTCCGCCATTTTGGAAATCAAATAACTCAACAACGAAATATTAAATTAAAAAAATTGCCAGAATGACTAGAAGAACAGGCTTTAAAAATATTTTAAGATATTTACGGAAAACCCTCTATATTTCGAGATGCAACCCTTAGATCAGATCAGTTCTCATAAAACTGGCAAGAAATTAAAGTGCTTATATCGCTGATTAGGAAGATGAGTTCCAATAGAATGGAAATTGGAGCGTATTAATGTTGTGCTGCTAAGTGAAAAGTAAGATAAGTATATAGATAGAAGGAAGCAATTGTTGTTTTTTCCATTAAAGTTCGGACAATTTTCAATTTATGCACTTAACGTACACGTAATAACATGGTAGAAGAAGAACCGTGATGAATGTGGTAGCGTTAAAAATGAAAATATCATTGGTTTTATAATATACATATATTTTAAAGCAAGCTGAGATCAGATATAACAGAAAAACAAAACGAGATAGGTTTCATGAAGTTCTTTGCGCACTCGTTTTTATAATAAAATAAAAACATTAATTAATTACCATGTCAACTTAATGCATTGTTTCAGGCCATAGTAAATGTGAGTTTAAATTATTATTTGTCCTTTACATAGTTTTTCAGGGCATTAAGAAATTTTATGAACTATAAATACATATCGCGTAAAATAAATTATATGTGGGAAAATAATTTGACCAATACCGCATTTTTCAACGCAAATCTGCCCCGAATAAACACCACGGTAATCTGTACTTACATTGTTATTTCATTCAGTGTTTAAACCTCCCGGCGCAAAACAGTTCATATAGAATAATTCCGCTAACGATTTTATTGACGTACGGCAAGAATACTCAAGAACCATACAGTATAATTTGTTTTTTCTTTTAGGTAAAATCAGTGCCACCAGCGAGCATTTCCTGGATATTTCGGGGGCAAGTTTTACAAAACAACAGCGAATCATCCGCCGGATTGCGCTTCGTATATTTTACGGAGGAAGGCGAGGAGGAAAAGCAGAGCAGTCTGTTCATTTACAACTTAAATTCGGCAAACAATGGTACATTTTACTGCCTGGCAGAAAATCCCGCAGGTGCCGCCTCGGCAAACTACACCATTATGATAATTCTCAAACAGGAACCCATTAGATTAGAAGAGGGCCAAGCTTTTTCTATTGATGTGGCTTCCATATTCGTAGCTGCAGGACTTGTGCTGGCTTCCTTGTGTTTTGTCGCTATAATTATGGCTCTGTGTAAACGACAGTCAAAGTCCAAAGAAAAGAGAAAACCGGAACAAATTGTTGCCAATGTTCAAGTACCGACACTCAAGAAATCTGTACTGAAAAAACCTCCACTACAACCGGCTGTTGCTGAGCCGGACATAATTAATGAAATCAGTGGAGAAGCAAATCAATATTCAAACAAACTACAGGTAAATCAATGAGTAATTTATCGAGAGACACGGTTTTTTTGTTGCGAGTAATCATGGTCGTGATCATTTAGATGGGGATTAAATTCTGCTATTTTCCGACAACCTGTCGGATCCCATCCGACCCGTAATTAAGCAGCATTTCGACCACATATTTGTCTTTTGTTCAGTTGATAAGGCATTCATTTCGGATATCCAGGGGCTATTAGTTGAGTGTTTTTGTGTGGGTCTCGAAATTGCTGTTTATCGAATTATCCTAAGATCAGCTTCAGTAAACAGGACTAACGAATGGTTCCAGGTAAACATCGCATATTTCAAATTATTATCGAAATTCTTATGGGATTCAGGTCAACATTTTGTTGTCCAATGCAAGTTTGGTTTTTAGGAAGATTTACAAGTTACAATATGATGTCGATTGCGCCAAACTTAACAAGCTGATAATTGAAAAGAATTAATGACAAAAATTAAAATTTAAATGAGAAATTAACGTCAATTAGTTTAAGGTTGAAGCATACATTCACAACTATTTATTTTACTTCATTTGTGGGGCCCAATCCTGCCTGATTTTTAAGATCGGCGTTTTCGGCGCTTTATTTTGTACCCATTTTTATCGGTCTCAGCTCATATTTTCTAGGCCACCGTGTATATTAAAGTCAATATCTTGTTTAGTTACTTGGTTGACTTAAGTTTTTCGATTGTTTCTTATCGGATATTTAGTGGGTTGAATAAATTAAGTCAAAAAGAAATATTTCTAAATGATTGATGCTGGCAAACTAACAATAAATATGGGCTGAACTTCGAAAAATTGCAGCAAAAAACAATCGAAATTAAAATAAAACTAAAGCAGGCAACCGTTGAAATAAATAGCTACAGAAAATTTATATCGAACAAAACTTTACTTGCAATTATGGCAGTCGACTTGCTATTAATTCAGCGTTGTACAGTAGGCCAGTCGATGCTCTAGGCGTCGTCTACATTTTCGCAAATTGCTTTTCTCCTTTTGATGCAAATTCGTCGAAATCTTCTTCATATTAATCGCATTTAACATTGGAGATTTTCGACATCAAATATAATTTTCCTAACGTTGAAATCAACGATTAAAGTTAAAACGGTGATATTGAATTAAAATAATAAAAATAGTTTTAATACTTCAAATATTTAGGCTGAATGTTTATAATTGATACAAATCAAAATAAATGATAATAATTAATTCTTATAAATTGATATTTAAACTATTAAACTAACTTAGATTTTTACATTAATAATCCTTTTCATTTTTTCGACTTTTTCTCAGTTTTTTGCAATGTATTTTATTTTTCCGTTTTTGAAACAATGCACATCAGAACCTTATTTCGGGAAGAGTTGCAACGCGAAACCGTAAAACCGTAAAAGGCTCAAAATATTTTCTCAGTTAACACATAAAAGATGGTTTGTGAACTGGAAATTTGGGTATCTAAACAATGAGTGTTGTTTGCAATTATTAAGAGAAGGTGATGCGTTAACCCGATCTAATACTATGGCTAAAACTGCGTTTTAAAATAGGTGATTACTTTCGCCAGAATTAAATGAGGCTTTTTTTCGTACACACTTCTGATATCACTACAATTGGTTTATCGGTTTTTTAGCATTTTTATAAGATATTAGCACTAGTATTAACTTTGTTGAGTGCGCCTAAAAGCAATATTTTGTTGATTAGAAGGTGACACTGTTGGGAAAAACTGATGCCAATCTTAAGGCGGTAGCAAACGAGCGAACCTTCCGATGTTTTGCTTTTGCTGCACCCTAATGAAATGGCACATAAAATTGAATTGAACAAGCCAATGTTCCGAGTCGGGGCATAATTTCCTCTCGGAACTGCAGGTTCGTATAAATCGAATCTCAATTCCGACTCGAAAGTGTGTCTAGACGGATACAATGAGGTTTTCTTGGAGACACTCTAATTTCGAATGTTTGTCTTTCCATTGTGCAGCTACATCCGATTATCGTCAGACCAATTGCAATCGGAAATAATGGTCGTAATCAGCCCTACCTGAAGCCAACCTTAACTGGCAAACATCGGCCAGTTTCAGCTCCCAGTTTTGAGCGCTATGTTGAGTATTTTGATTTACGCTCTACGTCAGGTGGATATACAGCGCAGACCGGTAACCCTGCAGTGGTCTCAGCATTACGGCAAACGTCATATTCTGAGCAATCTTCTTCAAAAAGGGGAAAAAATCCAATGATTTTTGTAAAAGAAGCTTTTGGAGCTGAGTTGAAAAATTATTCAGACTCGCATGAAGATGTACAACTGTAGCACTTAACTTTAGAATAAATACTTTTCAGCAATGGAATTGTGTTTTATTAGAACCTGCGATCCCTTTGGAAACATGCAAATAAATTATTTCCACTAGAGCTCGAAAAACCAACACTATCCCATTTGCGTTAGAGTTAGAGTCGGGGGACTTCTTTGCGCCGCACGTTTAAACGGAAAGTTAAATTTGCGACGAATCTCTTGTGGGAATTCTGATGAGCTTTGCTTATTACAGCTTATACAACAGGAAAATGAGAATTTCCTAAACTGAGGTGGCTGCATATAGATGCACAAGGGATTGCTATATGTAATAATAATTAGATTTGGTAGTAAACAAGTCTCGTTGTATACTGAGATAATACAATTTAATTTAGAGCGTGTCACCGATTTGAGCTGTACCTACCCCTTGTACGCCTCATGTATGCTAGAAATTTGTACTGGAGCTAATCGCTGAAGGGAAACTGCATTTGGGAGCGTGGAGGTTTTGCTTACATCAAAGAGCACACACCCAATTACTTTAGCTTATGCAAGCTAAATTCCTAAATTACTATTTCAGCGCAAATAGGATTTTTTTCACGACTCAAGATTGTTAAGTGCATATAGTTTCATTAGTTAGTTGGTCTAGTTAGTTTAGGAAATTTGCTTTTGAGATGTTCCAACTGTTAATGTTTAAGTACACATGAGAAGTTCAAATTTGGCCCAAAACTTTGCGATTTGATTTTTAAATGCGGTTTGACGATGTGTTTTCTTAACCAACCTTCCCCAACCATTTTTCCAAACTGTCGATTGCTTCCGATGATATGTGAAGTATTCGATTTAAAAGGCGACGAAAAAATTAAACGTGACTTGTATATGAATTTCCTTCAGTAAAGTAATTACTTTATACAGGGTGTCCCACCGGGAACCGCTGCGATCGATGACCAACTGTAATTAGGAGAAATTTGAAAATTGGACAGTGTGCCAAAGTCATTGGCGGTCTAAAATATTTTCAAAATGGCCACACTTCCGGTTATACCGGAAGTAGATATCAACTTGCTTATTTTAAATATTTTAAATGGAACACCCTATATATTATTACATTTTTAAATTCTACTCCAAATCCTAAATATATTTCATACGCAATATCCTGTATAATATCCGATACCTAAGTCTAACCGTTTTTGATATATTTGGAATTTTATGTCAAAAATGACAGTTGCAGCCACTCGAATAATTATTCATTTTCCCAATAAGGAAACGTCTTACCTTATTTGTGTCGAATTTATTGTTGAAAAGGACTTACTTTATTGAAATTTCGGAAATATTTTGAAAACTATCAATACAAAGTGTTAAAAAATAAGTTTTAAAATACAGTTGAGAAAACCGCCTTAAATCAATTTTTTGAAATGGAAATTTACGTTTTTGATAATTTTGCCATATTCAGTATTAAATAAGTTTAAGTTTGTGTAACGATGTCTATTCCAGAAGTGTTTAATTTTCGAAATATTGCCAATTTAATGTTTTCATATCACTATTTTGCAGCATCTTCTTTTAAATTCTGTCACTCTTAGTTGCCATGTCAAAAGTGGTCATTTTTAATACAGTAAAATGCCAAAGGAATGCTGACAGCTGTCAGCTATTTTTTGAAAAAAAAATTATTATGCCAAAGTGCTTCAATTATGCAAACGAAGATTATTTAAACTTATTTATTATTTATGAAGAATGTGATAAAGCTGTATCAAGAACATGTGGCACATTTACCATTCGATATCCCCAAAAACCGAAGCCTTCATGTTGTGCTGTTAAACAAATTATAGAAAATTTCACGAATTTTGAATACGTCTTAATACCAGTGACTGATATAATTAATAATAATAAATTATACATAAACGATTCTTGATACAACTTTATCACATTCTCCATAAATAATAAAAAAGTTTAAATAATCTTCGTTTGTATAATTTAAGCGTCCCGACCTGATTATTAATTATTTTCAAAAGGGAACTGACAGCTGTCATCATTCCTTTGGGATTTTAATGTACTTAAAATGGCCACTTCCGTCATGGCAACTAAGAGTGACAGGCTTTAAAAGAAGATGCTGCAAAATAGCCATATGAAAACATTAAATTGACAATATTTCGAAAACTAAACACTTTTAGAATAGACATCGTTACACAAACTTACACTTATTTTTAATACTGAATATGACAAAATTATCAAAAATGGGGGCTGTTGGATCAAGATTTAATTGAAAGCCCAAGTTTAGTTGTTGCTAATTCTTGAAACGAATATCATTAAAACACAGTAAGCAACTAAAAACTGAAAATAACGAATGCATAAAGAACTCTGGAATTTTAGCTTCCAACTTCTGCTCCAACTTTAAATTAACTATACCTACGCTTCCGCAATACGATTTAATAAATGCAGTTTCTCAGTATCTAATTAAATTTTAATAGTAAATAAAAAGAGAAAACTGGGACAGTGCCGTTTTCTCCGAATATAATAATATTTAATAAAATAGTGCAACAAAGAAGCAGTGCTTCTATGGTTTATAATGTACATTTTGTGTGTTGCTATACTTAGAAATATAATGTTTTATTCAATATCACTTTTTAAGAAAAATCCAGATGCAAAGTAAGCAGGAATAAGGAAAATGTCAACTTGTAAAGAAGATGATTATTTTTTGGGATGAACAATGGAAAGTAGCATCGTTCAACCTTCAAATCCAAATCAACAAATCATATCAATTGGCTTTGGAAGTTACGAATTTTGCAATATTTAGAAATTGTATTTTCTTTAACCCTTCAATATCAACGCTCCTCATTGACTTTATATTTTGCAATAGTAGCAAGCTTTCTCCAATTTTAAACAGTTGCTTGGTACATTGGTTTAATGGGTTTGTGTAATAAAATTTATTATAATAATATAAACATGTTAGCTCAGAGAACGTTGAGGAATTTTAAACAAAAACTGATCAAACTTATCGAAGTGTTTGTGTGTGTTCCTCACATATTAGCCTATAAATCCTGGCAAACGTTATGAAAAAGCACAAGTCAACTAAAATAAATTTAGATTTTATGTGTAAGTAGAAAATTCGATCTCAGCATTGTCATAAATAACACTGTTTCATCTAAAATCGGTGTCAAAAATACACTTTCTTTCTATTTGATTCAGGTGTTCTGAAAACTTATTTGATTTATTAGAGTTAGATTTTCTCGCAGCGATAATCCCTACGAGGCACAATTCTACTATGGCAGATTAAATGGAGAATTTAACTTTTAAAGGACGGCTTAATGGTCCGTATAATAAAGGGACGATAAGCCCCTTCGGGAACAAAAAAGAACAATTCTGTATTTCTTAATAATATTTGCTAGTTGGGTCTGAGCCACGAAAAAATAGGCACGCGACCAACTACTCCGTAAATCGTTTGCTGTAATAACAGTTTTTCTAAACAAAACATTTTACATGCACCGCAGTATGGTTGCCAAATAATTTTTCAAGCAGAAAATCGCCTTTTTTGCGAAGATTCTCGCATTAAAGCGAGTACCGAAAAGCATCCGTTCTTTTTCTAAGGCTGCAACAAATGACCTGAAAAAGGAATACAAAACAACGTTTAAGCTAAATAACCTCATATATTTCAGTTACGATCGTGGGTTAACATTTATGTTCGTTCGTTTGCAAATTGTAAAAAATTTTAAGATGTAATGGGGCATCGATTTTAAGCAAAGGGAAGATTAGCGCAATCGAATTGACTCCGAAAGATTGTTTTAAGCCGCAAAATAGTGTTTTAATAAGCAAGTAGTACGGGATGATTTAAAATGGGGGTCATTCGTAAGGAGGAATGGTCTGGTGGTATAATGAGTGAACTTAAAAAGTGTTAAAAGATTCTCTGAAAACTCGAATAATTGAACGCATGTGCTTAATCTGTTCCAGCAAATGCAGTTTTTCTTATTATTAGAAGCGATCTACGGGAATATCTGAAAAGTTCTTTCTGGTTCCAGCTTAAGGAGCAAAGTCTGTTTTATCAACCACCGGTCGACTGCATTTTCGCCTTTTTAGAAATGTCTGGCGAATTGTCGAAATCTGTAATGCAAATTTCCCCGAGAAATTCACTCGAATTTATAGTCTAGTGGGACCCAAATTTGGATTGTGAAGAATTGATTCGCATGCTCACTCTCATTGTTAAAGGGCATAGTAAATTTAACAAATTTCAAATGGACGGTTTTTTCCTCTTATAGAAATAATTTTCGTAAATTTTAAAGCCAGCGTTACAGATCTTTCCGCCTGTTATACGCAACATTTTATACTCCATTGGTTCGAAGTGTTCTGGCTAGTGCCGTTTTAGAGAGCCACAATTCCTCAATTAGTTGTTACGTGCCAAATTCTGCGCCTGGACAGAGTGAATTTTGGCGAGTTTTTGACTTCCGTGATACAGTTGTCCTTGCCTATTGCACGTTCATTTTCAACCTGTTGAACTGAAATGAGGGCCTCTGGAGGACTCGTTTCGCTCCCATTGTAAAGAGCGGTAAAAGTTTTTTCCTCCAACAAAAAAATATTTACATTACATTTTTCATATAGATAAGAAGGTCACAAATATGCATTTATAAAGTATTTGGGTCAATAATAAGGAAGAAAGCGTCTGTTAAAAATCGTGAATGTTCAAAAAACGTTTAGAATATGCCGCAGATGCCTATTATTTCGAATCTGTAACGTCTATCATGTTTTTCAATTAGTTCGATGGATTCCTCGCGTTTGTGAGCTGGAAATGATGTAAAATTTAAGACATTTTTAATTTTTTCAAAAAATCGACTCCCACCCTTGGAAATATTTAGGACAAAACGAAATTAGACAAGCGTGTTTTTTGCTCCCAATAGATTCGTTTCGACGTCAGAAGGTCACAAATATGCATTTTCAAAGTGTTTGGATCAATAATAAGGAAGAAGTCGTCGGTTGAACGCTTATATGTGCCGAAAATGTCTACTATTTCGGATCTGAAACTTCTAGCATATTTCTCTATTTGCTCGATGCATTCTTCGCGTCTGTCTGCTAAAATTGATG